CGCCCACGCGGGGCCTGGCGCTCCGCACGGTCCCGCCCAATTCGGGGGTCCCCGCGGAGGCGGGGGCGCGGGGCGGTGGCGGCACAAAGAGCCGAGGGGTGGGGACGGCAAAGCGGGACGACGGCCGGGCTGACCCGGACCCGCCGATGGGTGTGGGCCGTTAGGAAAGTAAGGGTGCCGCGGCGGTTGCCCCCTGCCCGCCTCCCGCCCGCGCAGTGCCCGGCCCGAGCCCAGACACCCGGAGCCGCCGCTGCATCTTGGCCCCGCCCACCAGCCGCTTCCCAGGCCGCCAGCTCCGCGGGGTGGGGCCTGTCGCTGCAGCCCAATCAGGAGGCGTATGCAAATTAAGGGGCGGGCCCTCCGTGGAGGACCTCCCTGGTGTCCTGGTCTGGGAGTTGCTGAATCAACCCCTCTTGTCCTTTCCTCCACGTCTGGCTCCAGCTCACGTCCATCTGTAATTATTTTGTTTACCTGTTGTCTGTCTTGGCTGTCCTGGAAGCAGGGTTTGTCTCTTGTCCACAGCGTGTTCTCACCTCGTGGAACCGGCTGACCCACTGATACACACACGGTGAACATTCTTTGAATGATATTAATCTACAATTACCTTTAAAGGCCTAGCATGGTGGCTCCCGCCTCTAATCACAGGACATGGGGAGGCTGAAGCAGGAGGACTGTCTTGTGTTTGGAGCCAGGATTATGTGTGCTACATAGTGTGATCCAGGCCAACCTAAGCTACAGTGTGAGAGCTTGTCTCTAAACTAAACTAAGATACTCTAAACATTACCTTAAAGAGACGAGGGGAAAAATAAGGCAGAGTGTAGCTCGTTCCTGTAATCCCATATCTGGGGGCTCCTGAGGCAGAGGTAGATGGATTCATGGTGGCTCACCCACCAGCTAGGTAGCCTACTTGGTGAGCTCCTGGCCAGTGAAAGATCCTGTCTCAAAAAAAAAAAAAAAAAAGATGGACAGCTCCTGAGAAACAGTACTGGAGGTTATCCCTGGCCTCTTCACACACATGCACACATGAACACACACCACACACACATCCTTTAAGAATTTGAGTGTTTAAAAGCCTGTAGTTGGAAACAGGTTAGAAGGAATGAAATTTGAGAGTGTGTTACTTGTATTCTAGGCCTTTCTCTTTAAAGTTCTGCTTCCCTTTTCTTTTTTTAAAAAAAATTATTTTTTGCCAGGTGTGGTGGCACTCACCTTTAATCCCAGCACCAGGAGGCAGAGGCAGGCAGATCTCTGTGAGTTCAAGGCCAGCCTGGTCTACATAGCGAGTTCCAGGCCAGCTGGGGCTATAGGGAGACCCTGTCTCAAAAAGGCAAAAAAAAAAATTTATTTTTATGTGTATGAGTGTTATGCCTGCATGAATGTAAAGGCACCTGTGTCATGCAGTGCCTGCGGAGGACAGAAGAGGGCATCGGATCCCCTGGAACTGGAGTTATGGATGGTTGTTAGCCACCATGTGGGTGCTGGGATTTGAATCCTATCTTTAGAACAGCCAGTGCTCTTAACCACTGAGACATCTCTTCAGGCCTGTTTCCCTTTTACTGAGACTCATGTCTTATATCCAATTACATCCTTTAAAGCCACAGTTTCACCTAGCCAAGCAATTTTTTTCCTCAGAGGAGTCTTCAGACTCAGCATTCAGGCACCAGCTTTGTTTGGATCCACCAAGTGTAAGCACTGTTGAGTCACTCTGAATATATATGTTGTAATATATCCTGCAAAGGACCTCCATCCAGAATACAGGGAAACCCTGTAAATCTATAGGGAAAAGGCATATG